AGGAATCAGGTGCGGGCATGCTTATTGTTGTTATCATACAGCTATTTGAGCAGGAAGCTTTGGATTCATTCGTCACTTCGGTCATAAAGGGATTACTGTAGCAGTCCGAATCTTGGCACCTCGGACCTGTCCTTACAGAGACCAGTTAGTATGGTTATACCTGCACCATCAATCTGCTTTCTTTCCTACATATCATAAATGCCACAGCTGTGTCTTACCTTATCCAAGTCAAATTTTCATGGTTACATTATATACTTTTTAATTCACACTTTTTGCAGAAAATGTGAGTCTTTTAGGAGTTTTTTTTGGATCTTCTGGTACCATATCAACAACAATTTGAGCAGGTAATGGTATAGATGGACTAATGCTCCAGGAGGAAATGATGGTTAATTGTAAGTGCTAAAAATCAACACTGAAAGTTTCCACCATCTTATTTCTTGTTTCATCCTTAAAATCCAAATGGTTTCTCTATGCATTAGGAGGAGCCTGCGGCTATGGAAATCCCTATGGCATAAAGTCTATGACAGAAACATAGTTGCATCAAGCACCGCTATATCTAATCATGGACTCATTATCTCAGGATCATGCCTTGAGATTAAATGTATTAATTTGTAACAAAAATTGGTGCCTGTCACCTGCAGCCAACAGAGAGCAATCTTAGCCACAACAACACCCTTCTTCGGCCCAAACAATTCTAGCCCAACTAATGGAACAGGTCAGTGCATCACTATATTATGAAACTTTGGATCTTTATTAGCTTGTTTAGGGCATACATCTTAGCCACGCAACAAATTTCTTACTAACAAACAAATTTGTCCTAAGAAATGAAACAGGGTGCAAGTTTTCCCCTGTTATAACAATTAGATCTCTAGCAGCCTGTTTTCAAACACATATAATCGAATAATAAAAAAGGTACGTCAAAGCAAAAACTTGTGCCCACGAACTAATAAGGCAGGCATCCTAAACAATGCCTTCTACTTGCAGGATTGCTTGGATTAAAGCTGGTGAAATCGTGTTCACTACTATTGGGATAGCCCATAAACAAAATAAAGGCCCATAAGGCCCAAATATAAATGAGCACATCCATGAGTCACAATGGAGCTCATATACATTGAAATGGATCCAAAGGGACCAGTAGAAGTGCAACACGTATAAAACACTTCCAAGGGATCTATAAATACTCTCACACCCCTCAAAGGTAAGGGACTTTTCTGAGTGCTCTTCTCTCTCTATTATATTTCTCTCTCTAAAGAGAGCCCCAAGTATAGAATATTGCTAACTTGGGCGTCGGAGTGTCTACCCGAGGCACAACCCTCGGGTCTGTTTTGCAAGTCTCTATGCTGGTCAGCTTGTGTAAACTAGATCTTGTAAAGCTGTCCAAACATTTGGCACCGTCTGTGGGAACTCGAACAAAAAGCTTTATTTCTATGTTGATCCGGTTGATTGGAGGGAGGAGAAGATGTGTGAAAGGCTCATTTCTTATTCTCTTGAGTTGCAGATAATTGCTGAAGTAGATCTGGTGAATTTACAAAATGGGTTTATTCATCTATGAAAAAGAGAAGCTTCACCTGCAAAAAGAGAAGTATTCACAAGAAGACAAACAAGGGGTTAGCTTTGCACAAATATCGAGGTTCTACCTAATGAAATAAAGGCACGCATGGTGCAATATCAAGCATGACTATTCAAAAAGAAAAAGGGGTGTCAGCAAAGCACAAGTTTAGAGCAACTCAAAGTGGTAAAAAAAAAAAATAGTAATAATAAATAAAAAGAAATGGTGAGCACGAGACCATGAAAGTTGCGACCACGATGAGACAAAACGAGCTCAAGCTTGATGGCAGCGACAAAGCAGCCGCCCAGCTCGTCAATGCCAAAGTAGTCCCCTAGCTTGGCAGAGATGAAGCAGCTTCCCAGCTCGGCAAAGTTGTCGACCAGCTCGGCAGTGACTAAGCAGTCCCCCAAGTCCACAGCGACGAAGCAGCCTCCTAGCTTGGCAATGACAAAGCAATCGCCTAGCTCGGCATAGCTGTCACCCAGCTCGGCAAGGACAAAAGCAGTTCCCTAGCTCGACAGCGATGAAGTAGCCTCCCAACTTGGCAAAGCTGTCGCCCAGCTCAGCAGGGACAAGGCAGTCCAGCTCGTCAATGACAAAGCAATCCTCCAGCTCGGCAGTGACCAAGCAGCCCCCAGCTCGGTAGTGACAAAGTAGTCCCCTAGCTTGGCAGTGGCGAAGCAGCTTCCTAGCTCGACAATGACAAAGCTGTCACCCAGATCGACAGCAGCAAAGCAGCCCAGCTTGGCAGCAGCAAAGCAGTCCAGCTCATCAATGGTCCAGCTCGGCTGCACCACAGCAGCCCAGCTCGATAAGGAAGTCCAGGTCGGCAGCATCGCAGCAGCTCAGCTCGACAAGGAAGTCCAGCTCAGTACCATCACAGCAGCCTAGCTCGACAGCACCAAAGCAGTCCAGCTCGGCAAGGCTGTCCAACTCGGTGGCAGCACAGCAGCCCAGCTCGGCAAGGCAGAGTAGCTCAGCTCTGCAGTAGTAAAGCAGTCTCCGAGCTCTCGGTGGCATGCACCGAAGAAATTTGTAATGAAGCTCGTTAAGGAAGACGCGAGCAATTAACAAAATATGATGATGGTTAGCCTGTACTTGCAACAAATTAACAGCACTTTATGAAACCAACGGGAAGACGCGGGTTTCGACCACAAGCATCCCTGGGCAATAAACCATTTAAGCTTGGTTATAGCTCTGCAATTATTGGGGAGATAGATCCTAATCTTTTGTTATTTTACTTTATTTTGGATGTTGTTTTATTTTCCTTTATTGAAAAGCAAGTTGGGATCTTCCTCCTTTTTGAATTTGTTCTTGCAGAATCCAAGAGATGAGTCCCTGACCAGGCAGCTTGCCAGTATGAAAATCTCTACGAGCTGCGAAGTCCCAGCTGGAGCATGAGCCACGAACTTCCTGCTGGTGCACGAGTTGCAAAATCCCTGCTGTAGCGCGAGCTGCGAAGTCTGCAAGAGCACGAACTGTGAACTGCTGGCGCATGAGTTGTGAAGTGCTGAAGCACGAGCTGCAAGATGTGGAGCAGGAGCTGCATCTTGCTCAAGCACGAGCTCATGAGCTGACGAGCTCATGAGCTGCCGAGCTCAAACGCATGATGCAGAACTCAAGCACGAGTTGCCGAGCTCAAAGGCATGATGCAAAACTCAAGCACGAGCTCACGAGCTGCCAAGCTTGAAAGCACGATGCAGAACTCAAGCACGAGCTGCCGAGCTCAAAGGCATGATGCAGAACTCCAACACGAGCTGCCGAGCTCAAAAGCATGATGAACTCGAGCTCGATCTGCCGAGTACGAGATGCCGAGCTGCAAGCATCCTACCCGAGGTCGAGCTAAAAGATGTGGAGCATGAGCTGCACGCATCCCGCTCAAGCACGAGCTGCAGAGATGCAAAAATCCTACCCAAGGTCGAGCTGAAAGATGTGTAGCATGAACCGCAGGGGGTCAACACTCTCAAAAAGGTGCCGACACCTTTCTTGCATCTGTCCCGAAGAGTCCGTGTCGGGTTTTTGTCCTTCTCTGCAAATTCTGTTAACGGTAAAATTACAGTCCTGATCCCTTACTTATGGATTCTGCACAATTTAATCCTCAAATTTCATATCTTTGCAATTTACTCCTAAGGATTGTGACTTCTTCCAATTAAGTCCTCTCCAGCACAAAGCATGAAAATTATGTAAATTAAATAAAATTTCATAAAACTCATCCAGTATCAATAATATCAAGTCATAAATTTTACATTAATATGTATGAAGGAAGTATACTATCTTGATTGTAAGATTGGATGCCTTTGATTTCTCCTTTTTTCAAGTCCTTGTGATACAGGTTGTTAAGAAAGCAATCAAGCTCCGTAGCAAATTAGAGCTTTGGTCTAAACTTGGTCCAACCTTATATTAAAATTTATTTCTTGCATTCATTCTACATTTTTTCCATTCATTATGCACTTGTTTTTGCATTCATGATATCATTTTGCCATCTCATTTTTTATATATATCATAATCATTCTATTTTGCTCATTTGCGCTCATGATTATAAATATATATGTGTTGCTATTTTAGAGATGGAAAAGTGCA